GTACAATAGAGTAAGAGTATAAAGCTTGTTTATTATTACCTACAAAATAAGAGTCAAATTAAGCCCTACTGAATATTAGTATTTCTGGCACCATCAATCATAATCAGGATAAGCTCATTGGTATCCGATTATCGAACCCAGAGTTCACTCAGTAAGTTTCAAAACGATACGACGATTAGAAATCCATACTAACATTATAAAATGAAAGTTTGTTTGTTTATTTGTTTGTTTGTTTTTGTTTGTCCTCCTTTCACGTCGAAATAGATTGACGGATTGGCATTATTTTTGTGTAGAGATAACTGGAGGGCTGGAGAGTGACATAGGCTACTTAGGATTATCTCATTCCCATGGGAAAACACATTATAAATTAAAATACAACCCAAAACTTGTTTATGATCAAAATGACTTGAAACTTGGTATTAATGCTCTTTAATACAATTAAATAAATACGTGTTTTACCACTTTTCCCATAAGGGGGTAAAATAGGGGATGAGTTTTAGCACGAGCTAAGCCGTGTTTTCTGCTAGTAGATTATAATCGACATCAAAGCGTTCATTACATATTACTTAGTTAAAACGTTTTTACTTAAAACGACATTAAACGTGTAAAAAAAGTCAAAATTAAAACTAATTTTCAGTCATCTAAAGCAAAAAATACAGCTAAAATCCTCTTTTTTAGAAATAGGTTAAAACATACGCATGACATTACTCTCTGACAATATAATACATATTTCTATTTGTTTCGTTGGCTTAGCGCCAAATAGCAATAACGCTGTATACGGCATTCAACAGACGCACAAATACCGGGTTATAAATATCGTATAACTTAGATTGGTACGCGATTAATGTACTGAGTTAATACTTTTTTAGATTTACGCGAATGTTTGACATTATTAAATAAAACTATCTTTTCGGATTATTTCGCGGATTTATTTTGATTTTTGGTTCCCGACGTTTCGAATGCTTTACAGCATCCATGGTCACGGGAGAGACTGAGGTGTTACATGTCTTAAAGATATAATTGTTACAGACAGCCTACACACAATCAACAAAATGAAAATTGCACCAATTACATTACAATATTTTAACTTTAAACATTTTTATAATTTTAATTATAATTGAATATGGAAAATTATTTATTTAATTTTTGCTATTATTTTTATAATTATTACAATTTTAAAAATATTAATTAATAATCTATATTTAGTGTTGCCATTATTATATTTATAACCATAAAGAAAAATATAAAATATAGTATTAATTATTTAAGCCATATAATTGTTCAATGTGTAATTTAAAAAGTTAAAATTAATTAAGGATTATAATTTTAATTTAGTTTGCTATTATTTAAACACAACTTACTAAGCAACACTATTAATATATACTTTTACAAATGAAAAATCGGGAACCAAAAATCAAAATAAATCCGCGAAATAATCCGAAAAGAAGTTTTATTTAATAATGTACTGAGTTATTTAATATTAGCTTTTTTCATTATAAGTCTTAGAAGCATAGTTATTTTCTGCAAGTCCTTGTTTGTGCTTAATCACAAGCTTTTCTTTGTTTTTATTGACCGCATAACCAATTTACGTGACTATTCTGTGTGTATTATACATATAATAAAATTCTGAGTCAAATCTGTACATTTAATATTTTTTGGAAAATCTTAAAGAAATAGTCATTATTATCGATACAGAGGCCGAATCTATAATTTTTTGAATATTTGTCTGTCTGGCTGCCTGTCTGTCTGTGACCTCATCACGAGAAAACCACTGGACAGATTTTGATTAAATTTAGTATGATAAAAGCTGGTTATCCGGGTCAACATATAGTAACCTTTTTACTGCGGGAAAATATCTCACCTCTGAGAAGTATATACTAAACCTTAAAACGTAAGTAGGGACGAACCCGAGCGGTTCGAGGGTGAGTCGCTAGTTTTAATATAAAAGCGCTTATAACGATTAGCTCTATCTATCATAGACATAAAAAAATATAAACCTTAGTACACACTATACACTTCTATAGTAGTGTATATATATATATATATATATATATATATATATATATAAATAAATAAATAAATAAATAAATGTAAATCATTATGTCAGGACATTAACACACAACACCACCTAGTTCCATGGTAAGCTACGAGGCCTGTGTTATGGATACCAGATAGTTGATAAACTATACATATATAACTTTAAATATATACATAGGTATTATAAATATAAACACCCATGACTGGAGTACAAACGTGTCGTCACCCTTAAGAGATGATTTCCGGGATAAAAACTAAATCTATGTCCTACGTCCTTGCCAGGGCCTCAAACTATCTTCTTACCAAATTTTATCTAAATTGGTTCAGTAGTTTCGGTGCTTATTCGGTACACACAAACAACAAAAAAATCTTTCCTCTTTATAATATTAGTAAGTATAGACATTTTCACCATTTGTAAATCGATTTTCGTGAAACATTTGTTAATGAATATTTATATAATACCAAGAAATCGAACTCTTTGTGGGAGTTGCTAATGCTTTTAAAGCGATTTTGCCGTCAATATAATATCTTTTTAATCAAAAAGTAATTATTTAAAGAAAACCACCTGTAGAATACAATAACAAAAGTTACCTACATCATCTAATATATAAATATCTCGTGGCACTGCTCCGAAACGGCTCGACCGATTTTAATGATTTTTTTTATATATTTGGTAAGTATGAAAATAGGTCGTAAAGTGTTTTTCACCCTCCTACTCCTACCCATTTATTAATCGCGATTTTAATATTTTAAATTTTTGTTTGAACAATATTATATACCTTCATAGCGATTAGCGACGAACCCAAGCGTAGCGAGGATGAGTCGCTATATATCATAAAGCCAAACAGTTTATTTTTGTAGACTGAACGCGGGCGTAGCCGCGGGTTCTGCTAACATTTATAAATATAAAAAGTCACTTGTATTGCTGAAATATAAATAAAAAAACTATAATAAAAGTTAGTACTTTACCATCGACCTTTAAGCTTACACTAAATTATCTCTTCAAGCTTAATTAATAATCAGATATCCTTATATGGCAATACACGAGTCATACGACGAATATTCAGGTTTTCACATAAATAAGTACTGGTATAAATAATAATTTACATTGAATTTTTTTTCTTTTGATGTGCTTTTTCGTACATTTTAGAGCATTTTTTTTTTCTTTTCCTTCATATTTTTTTTTATTTCACAATAGCGACTTACCATCGCTTTGCTCGGGTTCATCCTTAGGTACGTTTTAACAAGTAGTATGGAATAGGTAGACTATATATTATGGAATAGGTATAATATAGGTAACTTTTAGTATACAATACCTATGTAAGGTATGATGAGTTTTATATCCCTTACTTGAAAAATGATTGATTCCCTTACAAACTTCCACCCCCCTTTGCAACCCCTTAAGAGACGAATTCCGGGATAAAAATTTCCCTATGGCCTTTCCAGGATCTCAAACTATCTCATCATACCAAAGTTTATCTAAATCGGTTCTGTAATCTTTGAGTTTATTCGTTACAAACATACAAAAATACAAATCTTTCCTCTTTATGATATTAGTTTAGATAGGTACCTATCATCAAAATACGTAATGATTTTGAGTCATGATATTTAAAGCAGTATAACCTAGTAACTCAGTATAAGAACCTGCAGACTTCTAGTATGAATATTGATGTCTTATATAAATAATAAGAATCAGATAACAGGTTTATTGGGTATTGTTTTACTCCCGCCCATAATTACAATGCTATCAGCTCTCTCACGACTGTCTCGCATAAGTGACTGAATGATGGCAGGATGAACCAATCAACGGTAATGGGACCTCATACCATTTGACGGCCTACTTAATTATTTAGACAAATAGTTATATTATACATGTACGTATAAATATATTTTCATATAAAATAAAATATTTTATTTATCGTATTAATTAAATAATATGATTTATTTAACCTTATTGTTACCGGCTATATTTTAGGATATAGCGCCATCTACATTATAAATGAGGAACCAATTAGTACAAAAGTTATATTGTTTTCAATATAGTACGGTAGATGGCGTTGATCATAAGTAAAAATTCTAAAGCTATTTTATACATTACCTATACTATGGTACCAAAAAGTAGATAATTTTGTTACTATAAAATTTCTGCTTATATTGTTTTAAAACTTTATAAATTAAATTATGAATGAACAGTTAATTATATTGATTATTTCATTTTATGTACTAAGTATATTAAATAAAATATACGACAAGTACATTTAATATTTAAAAATAATTTTACAATCTTACTTAATATAAGTGGGCTAAATTATATATTATACTATCATTAGTCAACAAAAAAATCTAAACCGAATATAACACAACAAAAAACAAACATTTACAATAAAAAAACAATTATCAAATCGTAACTCAAAACCCAACAATGATTCGGAGCGTATCGTAGTAACATTGCGGACGGCTGCGGGACGCGGGAGGGGCCTTTCTTTTCGTGATTCGCTATGCCGTAGTCGCACCAAGCCGCGTCGCACGGACGCCACTCGCTTGTTCTCGCAATAACAATCCGGAAGAAAAACTTAACTAAACGAACGAAAATCCTACATGATGTAGAGTTCTAATAATCATGTAGAGTTTATGTGGTGTTTATTTATTTTAAGATACAATGCTGTATTAAAAAAATGAGACATTAGCACCGTGCGACCGTGTTTCATGTGAATTCGTTCTATTGGTTGTGAATTAGCTTGGCAACTTCAAGTGATATTTGATGTCTAAAGATTCTTCATTTATATTATATTATATTACGTCGTTTGTACTTTGTAAGTAAAGAGCGGATACGTAGCATAAATTGTCTTAAACACTGTTGTTTTCGTTTACTGTCGGATGCGTTCGGGTGCTGTCGTATTTTGTTACAAGCTCGGACCGCGACTTTCGAATGTATTACCTTTAACTTTTAACATATGTACATTATGGTATCGAAGAGTAAAAAGATTTTAGAGGAGATTCATCCCTTACACATTATTCGTGAAGTTCAAAAATGGCCAGTGTTATATACGAAAGATAGTGTAGAGCGCGCGAATCAGCATTTCAAAAATAAAATTTGGAGGGAAATCGCTAAATCACTGTTTGCCGATTGGGACTCTTACAACGAAATGGAGCAAGATTGCAAAAGTGAGTAGTGTTTTCTTAAAGCCTTCTAGGAATGTCTTTTTTAAAGTGCGTATTTCCTTTTTTTTTAATTTAAGTAATATTTTAATTTCTAAGTGGGAATTAATTACTTTTAAATGGTGTTGAAGCTTTTTAGTACAAAAAATTTGATAGTATTAATAAAAATAATTATACGTATATTGCTTAAAGGAAGGTCTTCTCTGAGTATCTCAGCAGATTTTCTTAGGAGTGAGGTTTTTTTACTAACTGCTGGTAGAGTTTTTGACAAATAATAGTGTATTTCTAAAATACCAATATTGACATTAAAGCCTTCAAAACGTAAATCAATGCCCAATTTTAGTAGCTCGTCACAAAGTATGAAACTTCCCTTAGAATTTCATACGATATGGAAGTACATAATTGAAATTTCGTCCAAAACGGCCAAAATGTACATAAATTATATTTAATAGTGATGGTCTAAACAAATTACTAAAACTTCTAAGTATATAAATACGTTGACTTGTAGTATATAATTCGAACATGTTAATGGAGAAATATACCTTCTCTCATCCATTTTACGATTTTTGAAGAATGTACGACGAGTTGTTTATAAAATTAACATACTTTTACTAAATTTTTATATTTTGTCATACTATTTAGTGTTTCAATTCTCACACATGTTTTTTTCCAGTTACAGACTTAACAAAGAGATGGCGAAATTTACGCGACACGTTCAAAAGACAACTTTGTACCGAGAAAAGAATTAGAGAAGGCTGCAACATAAAGAGAAAAACATATGTATACTTTAAACACATGCTTTTTTTACTACCACATATTTCTACCCCCGAAAGTGAAACGCGTGACCCCGTATTAGAACCTAAATTAAACGAATATTTTAGCAAGCGCGATAAGAGAAAAGCTTCAACGAAAGAAAAAGAAGGAAAGAGAAAGAAATTAGCATCTAAACCAGATCTAGAAGGAGTTAGTGTAGAAAAAAATGAAATAGATGAGGATAAGCATTTTCTAATGTCATTAATACCGTCATTTAAAAAGATGTCGGATGACGAAAAACTTACAGCAAAAGTTGAGATTTTAAAAGTAATAAAGGATATACGAAGTAAATCGGTCACAGTAGAATGTAATATACCAGTAGCAGACTCACTTGCACTTAATATGGAGGACAATGATTTAAGTGGGATTAAAATAGAGATGTTACATTCTGAATTAGACGAAAACATATCGAATACAGAAACCGAAAGTGATGAAAGTTCCGATTAGTATTCGAATCCATTTCTTAATAGGGTCCAAGTAAATATTCGTAATAATTGTGTTTTAGTGAATGATAGACGTTTTATGTTTTCAGACAATGAATATTATGGACAAAAAATATGTTTTTAAATATTTGGCACATTTATATTTAATATGTTAAGTTTTTTTCTTATTTAAAACCAATTTATGCACTTAAAATAATAGCAACGGTTATTAATGTAAGAAAAAACATTTTATTATGATAATATCATTGGCCCGTGCCCGGTAATGGGGCCTAAAAAGGGCTGAATGAGAGAAAGAGAACACACAATTAATTATTTTTGATGGTTTTAATTTGCGGAACCGCTATGTTCATATTTAAAGTTAACGCTCAGTTGTACCTAAGTACGAAAATGTTTTTGTTGCCACAAAACCTGTATAATATTATATTCCATGTGATAATTTTAAAAAACATTGTTTTTAAGTATATAAATTAAATATAGCTATATAATATAATAGTTTTTGTTTCTCAATATTTTAAACACACTGTGACATCAAAACGTATTATGGCAGTGTCATTCTATAATTTGCGACAATTAAAGTGAAGTAAAATGATATCAGTACTTGAGTGAAAAATATTGCTAGAAGATAGATACATGCGAATAATATAACCCCTTGTGTAATCGCACCACAAACAATAGCTGATGTTGATAAAATTAAAACTACCCAAAATACCACCATAAACCATATATAAACTTCACAAAGAGCATCACTTTCGAATACTGCAGCAAAAAAAAGAACAACATTTACAGCACTCAGAAGAACACCGAAGACCCCATGGACATACCTCATGGGTTTTTCAAAAAAGCTGGGCAATCCCAAATCTTCTAAGACATTGATACCTGTAGATGTGAAGCCGAAGGTGTGTATAGCTGCCCACAATAAGCCAATAACTGATATAATGATAACACCTGTTCGTAAAGGTACCACGAAGCAGCAATAGTTTATTGTAGGACAATCGTCGAGAATGTAGCCCATGAGGACTTTTATTTTGACGCGTAATATTTAAAACTTTATAAGGAATTTAAGATTGAATCAAATAAAAATTGTAACTTATATTATTGAAAGTCATCATGATTGTCATAAATGACACTAGAAGCGTTCTGAATAGAAACTATCAAGAACAATCAATTTAATTCATATATATTACATTATTATTATTACATTCATTAAATAATTACCTATTGGTGAATACGAATACATATAATAAAAATAAGAACGTTTTGAGAATTTTCTGTACTTGATACTACACTAAAAATTATATAAATTTCGGCGGAGACATGAAAAAATTTAAAGTCAAAGCTTACCTCTAACGTTTCGCCGCATGAGACATGTAAGCATTCTCCTCACACTGCTTAAACGAGATTTTCTTTTATGTTTCCGCACACCAACTACTCGTTTGTACTTCTTCACTGAATCACTATCACATACAGACACTTTATCTTCTAAAACATCACTCATTGAACTCAAGGGCAATTCTATAGGGGGTAAGGAGAACTTTTCCCGATTTAAGCACTTTTTTGGCCAAATTTCATCAGAACTGTCAAATTCTATCGGCAAATCTCGAGTTGGTAATTCTAAAGGTGGTAATGTTCTGTGATACGGTATCACACGTCTTTCACAATTCCTAGAACTAGCACTCGAACTAAACCAAAGATCACTCGAAAAGAGAGATGAAGAAAAAGTATCCCTCCGAAAATCTACCTCGTAATTACGGACCAGGCTGATTGGATTTCGATGGACTGTCGCATTTCCAAGATCAAAACTTGGTCGTGTAGATGTAGTGTCATAATCCTGTGATGACGAGGAGGTCCAGAATGGAGGAACTGGTTCCATGTTGACGAAAGTTCGTGCTATGTTGGGAGGTGCTGTTGTTATTGTAGGTGGTTCTGGCGATAGCACTCCGAATGGATGGGTGAAGTAGAATAAGCAGAGCGGTCTTCCCTAGAAATAAAAAGAATATAACTAAGTATTTAATGTACAAAGAATACAAAAAACAACACTTATAAATATATTCTCAGAGTACTATTATTATTAAACCAAAACTTTGTATGTTTCTTGCTCCTTCACACTGAACCGTCTAGGTGTGTTTGGAAGAAGTTTAATACTCAGATGTTTACCTGGATGATTTGATTGCCTGGATACTATGTGTTAACATACATAGATTACTTACAGCAAGGAACACACTCGAGCGTAAATATCTTGGAGAAGTGTAACAATATAAAATACTAACTTTTACATCTTCAGTCGACGTCGAAGCATCCGCTCTACCGCCATTCATTGTTAAGAATCCTTTTAGTGACAATACACTACCACACCACAATCTAATCTAATAAAAAATAAAATTTTCAACATTATCAAAAACTATTACACTTTAAAAATGACTCAAAAACTAAAGTAAGTCCAAATCACTCATTAATAATAACATAGAGAATAATGGAGAATATAATATATAGGGAAAGCTTTACTAAGCCTCACTTCCGGTGATATTAGCAAAGCTCAGGAAGTCTAAACGGTTTGTTTCTTTCAGCAGACTGGCACGCGTTGCGCACGCTCTATACACCGTAGGGACGGACTTGACTTGTTAAATCGAAGTTCTGATTTCTGAAATGTACAATGATGTTAAAACGATATCTTCTATACGAATAATAAAATTCTAACTGAGTCGAATCTGTACACTAAATATTTTTTGGAAAATCTTAAAAAAATAGTCATTATTATCGGAATCGCGGATAGCGGAATCTATAGTTTTTGAATTTTTGTTTGTGTATTTGTCTGTAACTGTAACCACGGGACAGATTTTAATGAAATTTGGTATGATGATAGCTGGTTATCCGGTCAACATATAGGATATTTTTTCTGCGGGAAAATATCTCTTCTTTCATCTTGAGAAATCTATACCTATTAATCGTTAAAATGTAGTTAAGTAGGGACGAACCCGAGCAGAGCGAGCGTGAGTCGCTAGTTGTCTATATTTTCTTATACGACTTATCCTAGTTATTCATAATTTTTTTAATATTTTGCAAAATATCAAAACATGTTAAATCACATTAGTTATATTATATCGGTTAGATAAGTATTAAAATTAGTTATATTTATAACGAAAGAAAGTTCAAAACTCTGTTTCCGCCTTTATAATGGAAAAGTCCAGCTTAAAAGTAGCCTTTAGATGTACCTATTTTTATAAAAAACTTAGGAAGTACAGTAAATTATGTGGAATAGTTTTCATTTAAAACTTCATTAGAGCTTTAAATAAAAACCGTTATTTAAAGTTTTAGTTTACGGCTTTTCCTAACGCTATAAGAGTGAAATTTTTTGAGGTCTATTTTATTAAATAAGTATTAAATAAATAAATAAATATGTTGGAACATTAACACATAGCACCATCTAGTTCAATGGTAAGCCACGTAAGCATAAGCCTGTGTTATGGATACCAGATAGTTGATACACTACACATATGCATTTTTTTAAATACATACATATTATTAATATAAACACCCATGACTGGAGTACAAACATTCGTGCTCATCACACAAATGAATGCCCCCAGCGGGACTCAACCCGCGACCGCTGGCACAGCAAGTAGAATCACTACTAACTGAGCCAAATGTGTCGTCAAAACTAAACAAGAACTACTTATTAATTAAAATATAATATTTTAAATACTAAATCAAATCATATTCCATATATAGTTCTGAAGAAAACACCGAATGCGACCCCTGATGTATTTGTAACAGCCCGTAATGACGCTGTGTAAGGCAGCGATGTCTCAAAGCGCCTAATTCCTCGCGCTCACGCCTTCAGCCTTTTGCCGATAACAAACTCTTTAAAACATCTTTTGCGAATGTTTCGTTTCTTAAACGAATACCAGTGATAACAATTTTTTAGAACACTGATATTATATTTACACAATTCACTGTATTATGTATGTATGTATTTACGTACATATATTCTAACGAATTTCTCTCGCTACGCTCGGTATCGTCCCTGGGTACCAAACTAGCTAATATTATAGCGGGTTGCTTCTGTTACGTCTCTGTCATAAAATGGACTTATACGAGTAACCCCTTGGTTACAACTGCACCTAAAAACACAAAAAATTGAATAACTGTATTCAATTTTTTGTGTTTTTAAATCCTGTATGAATCGGGAACAAAATTTATTGTGTGATCAAAATGTATTTCAAAATATATCCAAAAATAACATTAAAACTTTAAGTAATAGTATAATTTTTTTTTAAAGACAACAAAATAAAAGTGCATTACATTACAAGACTTCCGCGATAAACAATAGCATTACCCAAGGAGGGTTGACGTCAGGCAGGCGGGCGGTCGTAAAACTTTTGCCAAATCCTATCAGCAGTACAGAAGATGTACTGCTACGACCCCAACTGATTGGGAAATGAGCACGGAGAAGGAGAAGAAGATGAATCGAGAACAGCATCGAGCTTTCTGTTCGTAGGAAGGAGAGTTCTGGTTAAATTTTTAGAACGACTTAATCGAAAATAGATATTAAAGAAATAATAAGTATTAAAAAAAAACTATAAAGCTTGATTACCTTAAAAGAACGTAATAATAAATCTTATATAGATTATACACAAAATCAATCAAAAAAACAAATCAAATACAGGTCCATTAATTCTTCTCTATTAGGTGCTGGCCGTTTGCTGGGAGATTATCTTCTGCACATCTCTATGAGGCTATGGAGATGTAAGAACTTCCAAACTGAAAGCTCACAATCTTTACCTCATTATAATATTAGGGATTGTTTCTTTTCCGATGACTTTACCAGTATAATTTCATTGCAACTATGTGCCAACAAATCTAAAACAATTCATTAATTATGATTTATGTGTGCATTATGTATCTATACAGAATCATTAAAATATATGATGTATATTTATGTTCAAACTTGTTCTTGGTTACGCCATCTCTGTCTAAGTAACGTAACTACAACGTCAATCGGCGGCTTTCATCAGGAAGAAACAATTATATAGATGGCGTTACATATATCGATTGGCTATCGATGTTTATGTAAAATTTGGAAAACTAAAAATCAATGTAAGTCAAATAAAAACTGAATTAATGCATTTTGTAATTCAGTTATTTTAATTTTATTGATTAATTATTGTTTATTAATGAAAATCAGCCACTAGATATTAATAAGTTTGTATTGTGAACTATAGCGCTGTTTGACTTTTACCGCGTTTTGCTGTTTTACCGGCGGTTCTCACTTCTTAATAACATACATATCTGTCTAATGTTTTCCTTTCTAGAGATAAAAAGTTAACATAAGCTCCATACAACTTATCTAAATTCTTATTTATTTTTGTAGTCTATTAATTATGTAAGTCCGTTAGTAACGAAGTTGATGTAGATAAATTATTAAAATCAGCCGTTAAAGTTGTTTACGACAGTTGACAAAAACTTTTTAACAAAAAAATAAAAACCGACTTCAAAAAAAGCACTAAAAAGTAAAAAATAACTGTTGGTAGTTTTCATTTACTATACATACCTAATCAGATATTTTCGAAGTCGGTGTGCTTTGCTTTGTATCGGCTGGCACTGACTTAGAATATATTTGATTGCCTCTGTATTGATAATAATGTTTATTTCAATAAGATTTTACAAAAAATATTAAATGTACAGATTCGGCTTAGTTACAATTTTATTATATGTATAGACGGAAAAGCTCGCTAGGGACGTACCGGAGCTTTACTTAGCTTTCACTAGTTCGTGTATAAATAAAATACGTAGCTTCAATGGTAATAATGGCTAATGATAGCTTTCCTATGTCTGTATTGTTTCGTGTTATTACACGACATATGCCATACTGTGCCGGCCGCCACCACACAGCCGTATTGTGTTTACATAATAATAGTATGTATTTTCTTTACCCATTAATAATAAAGTAGCTTTTGCTCATCGCTTTTTTCGGGTTTAGATAGAACTAACCGACATATTTTTATTTATTGATTGATAAATGGCTTTGGTGTTGTGCAAATAATAGGTGGAATTTAAATATAGCTAAGTTTTATTTTAGTTAGTCGATTCGAAGATACAGCTCTATATTTCATGTTTTTGTATATAAAACATTCATATTTATTAGTTATGGACATTAAATTAGCGATAAGACAGCCTTTTATGCACACTTTTAACTTTTGTGTTTTAGATACCTTGTTATCCTTTATTTACTATGTCATTACTGTGGTGTACAATAAAGGGTACAAATAAATAAAAAAAAAAACAAACACAAGCGAGAGAGAGATCACAGGCAGAAACGAGTATGCATTAAAAATAACAAGAGGATTCAAATCCTACATCTCACAATTCAATGTAACAAACTGAACGTCAAGACATCGGTAAACCTTTGTCACTGATATGATCAGTGTTTCTTCGACGGTAACGACTTTTGAAGGGATTAATATATTTTTTATTGAAATGTTGTAATATGAACTTGTCATATTCAATTTTGTTTTCAAAGTTTTTTTGTTAGCAAATTTTAGTCAAAATGTAGTTTTTTTATTATTTTGATGATTTAACCTTTATTCGCTCTATTCGACTATCTGGTCGACGCGATATTGGAATATTTTGGGGGTTGAAGATTGAATTAGACTACTTTCTATTCCGATAAATTAGCAGAATTCCAAAAGAGAATTTAGTAAATATTTGCTTACAATAAAGTAAGTGTCCAAGCTAGACGAGAATATTAGTAAGTACACATACCTATATAATATGATCTATTGGATCTAGTTAACTTTAAATTAGAGAACCCGTCAAGTTTCATCTAGATCAGTTTCCTAAGTCTATTCCACGAGAACCGTACATTTTTCCAAAAAATATGTATACAGTATAATGTATATGTTATTCTGTTGTATGCGCTATATTGTTGTAAAGTTTCATTAAAATCCATTTAGTAGTTTTTACGTGAAAGAGTAACAAACATCCATACATCTATACATCCAGATATCCAGACATCCATACATCCTCACAAACTTTCGCATTATATAATATTAAATATTGAGTATTATTATGTACATGTTATATATAATAATTATTAACTGTGTAAATATGAGATATAGTTTGTATCACTAGCCACTTTACTACGATTTATTTATAATTTTATCATAAGCACAGATTAAAAACAATAATTTATCAGATACTCATCACTTGGAAGCCATATTGATTCACAACAATAAAAATCTTAATTCACAAGCAAAATGTTTTTTTCATTTCAATTTAAGTCAATTTTTATTTTTTGAAATCATGTTTAAAATTTCAA